CCACAATGAAGAGCAGCATTATAATAACGTCCAAAGAACAAATCTAAAGGCACAGAAACAACTTCCTAAAGTAATGGGTTTTTATGCTTCAAAGACTAATTTATAGAAATCATCCAAAGTCCTGTTTTCACCTCCTGCACCGACAATAAAACATTGTGAAGCTAAGCAGGTGATGAATAATAATCTTGTAACCCTAATATCTGTTTGTCAAAGTCCAAAAAAATGGGAATTTTGTAATAGACATCTTTTAAACAGGCTACTCATTTCCCTAAAATATTTTATCCTGCAGTAATTATCACATATCATCTGGTCAAACTGAGCTCGGCCCATTTAAATCTACTCAGGCATTAGGCACAAGAGCAAGACCCTATCTGACCTGTGTAGAAGAGTACACTGGGACCTGGTCTCACTTCGGTTCCAAATCGGGTCTCGTTTCCTCAGAACTGAGTGGACCCATAATGGCGCGCTCTTCATTAGCAGATGGAATTTTCTCAAGTCATGCTTTAGCTGTTTAAAGGGGACCTATTGTGCTTTTTCTTATTTCCTGTTATATATGTGATGTGACACTGTCGAATGCTCATATTAATCAAGGCCAAAGTTTGAGTAAAAACGTCTGTCAGACCATTCTGGACTCTGTTCCCAGTGTTATTTTCTACTTTCAAGACAGGCTAATGTCTTTATATGGTCATCCAGACCGTTCTCATTCTGAACTCATCCAATACCGCTGCCTGGTGATGCAAAATGGCACCTTTTGCGGCAGTATGATATACCGCCACACGTCGTTATAAACTGATGCCGCCCAGCAGCATGTTATACTGCCATGAGAGAGTGCATCAGTGTATATCGCTGCTGGAGGGCATCAGCTTGAAATGCTGCATGTAACAATGTCGTGTGAGGGGCTGGGAAGTCCCAAGAGTGGGCCGGAGGGGTGGGTTCAACAAACCCCGGACTTTCATGTTGGAGACCGCTGTTCGCTGAATGTTGAGCCACACCATGGTGTTTTTTTTTTCCGAAACCTAACCACCTGCATTTGTCGCACAAGAAAATAAACATAAAAACACGGGCTTTTACTGACGTTGTATGTTTGTTTTGAAAAAGACTGTATGCATCTAACAAGCAGAAATCGTACATTTCCTGTGAAAAATAAAGTGTGTTTTGAAAAGACACAAGCATGTAACAAGTGTGAATTGACACAAGATCTCGGCGCGTCAACAACAGACTCAGAGGATACCTAACGCGTTAGAGGTGAAAGTCCACTGACGAAACGGTGATATTTGATGAGTTGGGATGAGAACATGTTGGGTCATGTACTCCAGGCATGCTGCTACAAGTGTTTACATTATATAGCACACACTGCTACATGTAGCCACATGCTAACATCAGGGAAACTTGTAATCTTTTTTTAAAAATGTCTCCTTGATTTTGGATAATTCCTGTTGAACATGTCTGGTTGTTAAGATTGTGGTTTTCCTAACTTTTATAGGGGATTTCTCACAGTAGAAAATGCCACTGTAATATGCAGTGATTCTCTGGTTGCAAGTACACTGCTACATGTACATGCTAAGAGCTTGGGAAATGTATCTTTGTTGCCAGTACTGTTTATTCCTCCTCAATTTTGGTTCATATTCCAACTTGAACATGTCAGATTTGGCAGATTTTGGCGTAAAAGCTTTTGTATGCGATTTTTCACTGTAGAGATTGGGGCTATACTCAGTTAAAGCCATTCCCTCGGCTGCAACTATGGTCCAGAGACACCGAGAGTGCAGATGTGGAAGACCTTGAAATGCTGAAACCAATCAGAGTTAAAACAAAGCATCTCAGACACGGGGTGAATATAAGTATATTCATGCAGACAATATGAGGAAAATTAAGTGTGTTTTGAACATTAAAGCATGTAAACTTGTTCTAATAGAAACCCAAAATACAAGTATGAGCCTGGAAATGACCATAATAGGTCCCCTTTAAAGTTTTAATATCGATCAGGAGAGAATATTTATTTACATGTGCACATACGTATGAGAAATATGAAGAGTCTTTGGCGATTAGACCCCATCGTGATGTCATCTATTCCAGGACGCTGTTAAAGACGTAGTAGATAAGGGAACTACCCCCTAATCTGACGAGGAATGAGTTTTTCCATAAGCTTGTCCGGGGCTCTGGATAAGGTGACTGGAGGTGAATGGGGTGGAGGAGGACGCAACAATTCTGCCTTAAATGACAGCTGACAGGAGCAGAGAGGAGAACAGATTTGACGATTGGCAGCAGCAGCATGGATGGCTGAAGGAGATTGTGGGAAAGTTTGATTGGCTTACCAGAGGAGGGAGCACCAATAGTCAGCTGATTGATGGAAGTGGTGGAAGTGAGACTGAGAGAGAATTGTAAATGGATATAGCATAAAGAAAGTCCTTCTGATTGAACTTGTGCTGAGCTTCATTACTCTGAGCACTTTAAAGATTTCTCTTCCACGTTGGCTTAAAAGATGAGCTCGACGGATCACCCTTGATTGTGGAAACAGCAGTTGACAACACTGTAAACTAAAGTTTCACTTTCTGGACTTTTAACAGTCTTGTTTCAAGGTCAAAAATGAATCGTCACAAATTTTAAGGCGACATCCACAGTCTGGTGACAACTGTGAAAATTTGTGTTATACAGTCAGAGTAAGTGGACACCAAAGTCAGAGCAAAGTGTCCAGCTCAACTAAAAACAACTGTTTGATTCTCCTCTATGCCCTCTTTCTCTCCCATCCTGCTTGCAAATGTGTTGCTTTTTGGATAGACCATTTGTTTTTCAACCTTGAAGTAGAAATCCTCAGTGAATAAATTAAGAAATACAACATTTTACATACTCGCTTCCAAGAACACAGTTTAACATATTATTAATCCAATTTTTGTTTTACAAGACGTGCTGTTTTATATTCACTGACGTTTTAATCTTTGGCTCTTGTGAAGGAAAAACACCTCCAGTGATTCAGAGCTGAAAACGTCTCCTGCTGTACAACACGAAAACACATCCTCTGCCCGAATCCCCCAGTTTGTTCCCTCCCGTCATTCACTTGTGTCACCATTAAAAATCTATGAAAGGGCATTGATTCACTCTCAGACAGCTTCATTTCAGAATGCTTGTCAGTGATTAAGAGACGTGTGGAGGTAATTGCATTCCCATTCACATCAGTTCATTAATTTCCATGTGTTGTTGTAATTGTGTGCTGTAATTGATTTTTTTGTAATCCATTTGTCCTCCAGGAGCAGAGGAGGAAACTTGTGAGGAATTGAAATGGAGCAGCTTTAATTGAGATGCTTTAATTGTGTGTGCCTCATGTTAGACACATGCTGTTGTGACTTGTTTCAGTTAATGTCATGCGAATTAAGAAATAATAAGGAGAATAAGAAAGAGAAGAAAAGGGACAAAGTAATCCAGATGTGACTGGAAATATGTATGCTGGCAGCAGATGGGTAGCTTAGCTTAGCATAAAAACTGAAAAAGGAAACTCCTTGCATGGCTCTGCCTAAAGGGGACAAAATCAGCCCACCAGCACCTCTAAAAATCACTAACTGACAATCCATACAAAACCTGAAGTGTAAAAATGACATGCTTTCATGGGGGTTATGCGTGCGATTATTCCCTGTCGTCACTGTGAGGTTGCCAGACAATGAGCAGAGACTCCAGGAAGTTATGGCGCCAGGCCTTGAAATAGTCTGGCACAAAACACATTGTTAAACCACCACAGCGTGCCGTGTTTTTTTTTTTACATTACAGGTTTTGTACGGATTAAACAAATGAGATATGACTAAATTAGTGAGCTTTAGAGATGCTGGTAGGCAGATTTTGCTGCTGTTGGATGGAGCCAGGCTAATTGTGTTCCCCTGTCTACAGATATGAAAGTGGTGTGTATGTTGTCTAATTCTTAGTGGGAAAGCAAATTAGTGCATTTCCTAATATTTTTAATGTCGGGATAAAGTAAAATCTTATAAACACTTCCCTCCCTCCCTCCTTGAAGGGAAAGACAGCCCAAGCAGGACTGGAGCCATCCTTATCATAACTCCCCTACTATAAGGCTGCTTTCAGACCTAGAGTTGTCTTGCTTTGGTCTGAATCAGGGACTCATTTTGTTACAAAGTTGTATAACTGCCTAGAGTTGGTTCATGTTCTCACGGCAGCATTTACAAGAGGACCAGATCAAATGCCTTGTGTGAGAAAGCTGCTCTTGATTGGTTAGAATTTCCATGTGGGAAAAATCCAGGAAGTAAAGCAAACGTTGAAGAAGAGTACACTTGCAAGATAAATGTGACACTTTCTAATGTCACAATGGAGGGACAACTACGCAGGTTGATTTTAGCGCTGCTCATCGTGGCTGTTCTTTGCTAGATGAGAGGCTTTCTCTGCACAGCGGCTTGTTGTTCGTTTTAGGGAATGGGTGTGCTTTGTGCTACTTGGTTAGCTCCTAACCAGAGTCTGACGCTTGGCAGTGGTTATCTTGTTCTTCTGCTGACGGTGTGTGCTTTGTGGTACTTGCTAACAAAAGTCCGTTGCCGTGCAGCAGATTGTTCTTTGACTTTTGCTTTACTCAGACTTTTTCCCTTTAAGACAATGAAATTAACAAAAATTAATACTACGAAACTATTTGTTAAGGTTACAGAATCAGTTTTTTCCATCTCTCAGGTTTAGCAGCTGTAATAAAGAATGAATCAATGGTGTGGTACAAATTACACAGTGACGAATGGTGCGGCTGCTGATTGAGAATCAATAATCCTTAATGAATTACCGTGACAGGTTTGTGTGAGAAGCTGCACTTAACAAAAAAAAGAGGAAGTTGTTAGAATAGTTGTGCAACCCATCACATCTATAATTTAACAGTATCTGTTTTAAAGCATACTTTTCTGTGTGAGCTGCTGTTCAGGTGTTGTTGCACTGAATCACCTGCAGCATCTGATGTTATGTTTTTTTCCCCACATGTCCTTCTCCCTCATTTGTCTGCTCCGTTTTCCTCATTTCTCTGACAGGAGATCGTCCTTGTGGTGTTCTTCGGTGTGGAATATTTTGTCCGCCTCTGGTCAGCAGGCTGCCGCAGTAAATATGTTGGCATCTGTGGCCGACTACGCTTTGCCAGGAAGCCAATATCTATTATAGGTGGGAACACAACCCCCATACACACGCGTATCTCTACACATGCACACAAACAGACATATCACTTGCCACCCACACACAGCATTTAAACAATATCTGTAATATATCCTGAGCTTCATCCCAGAATGAGATATCGCAGACAAATTCAGCATGAAATTAAAACTGTCAGTTTCAAATGCTTTTTCTGCCTTCAGGTTTTTATTCTTAAAATTGGCACCTCCAGGTGATTTTTTAAATATGCAGCAATGCATATTAACGTTAATATTATTTGTAACCTGTCTCACCTCAATCGATTTATACAATCATTTTGTAATGGAAACCAGTGATAATTTCTTAATAGTGCACTTTCTTCTTTGGCTTTCCCAAACCTCATATGGAGGACATTGCTTTCTCCTGTTAAGCTGCACATCCTCATACTGAACATGTTCTTGTGCCATATTTATACTTAAAGCCTCTCTTTCTCTATCAATACAGATCTGATTGTAGTTGTTGCCTCAATAGTTGTGCTATCAGTGGGCTCCAAAGGTCAAGTCTTTGCCACCTCTGCTGTAAGGTAAGAGACAGTGTATGTGAAGGAGGAAACAATATAGTCTAAAGTATGTGGGCATCTTGTGTAATCCTGGTTTAGCGGCTGGTGAAGGAAAATTGAACACTAGAGCATATGATGTCGTTTGAGATAATAATGTACTTCTAACTTTGCAGCAGCAGTTTGGGGAAGGACAGTACGGTGGCCAACAAGGGCAAACATGCCACAATGGCACAAAACAATTCCATTAAGAGGAAATAAACTAGCAAGGACCATGGGCTCTAGTTTTGCAGACCGGGTTGCCAACTGGGTGTGGCCAGGCGGATTTTGCAAGTTTGGCACACCGCGTGCGCTGACGCAGCTGCTCCTCTTTCCCACCTCCGTCCCTCCTACCTGCGCAAGTTGGAAAGAGGGAGGAGAGAAGGCGTGGAGTGGGTTTTACACACATCACACCAATCAAATGAGCCCCTCTCCTCACCCTTAAGTGCGCCACGCGAAGGCGTAATGAGAGTTTACTCACTTCGCCATGGCAGAAGAGAGCAGCAGCGTCAGACGGCCAAACTTCTCCCAGGAGGAAACTGATGTTTTGGTCCGGGAGGTCCAAGCTCGCAGTGTCTGAATATACAGAACTGCGAGCAGACCTCCACGGGCTGATGATGCAAAGGTAGCCTGGGAGGAGGTCACCACAATTGTAAATCAATGTTGCGTTTCTCTCGTGCGCGCTCTCTCTCTTTCTCTCTCGCAGTCTCACTATGTTTCTTTTCTTTTGACTTTTCTAAGATGACAGATGCATGAATATATATGAATATATACTCCCTATCTGATGCTGTGGCTGTTTGTGGTTGGCTGAGAGGGATGTGAACTCATTAATTTGCAGCTGTGCTAATCAAATCAGGTTGGGTTTCCATTACGCGTGCCAAATGTGCCAAACAGTGCCAATCCCCTTTGATCTGACATCAGATGTGACGGGACAGTCGATACAGAGATACATTTATGTGCTGATTGCAGATAGTTGCATTGAATAGTGTTTTTTTTGGGTATTTATTGCATTGTTAATGTGCCTGATATTCTGGAAACCTGCCTGTGAGGTTTTGGTGACGTGTACGCACTGTCCGCCGGTCAGCCAAACTTTGGCTTACACCGGCTACACTCCGCCTGCGCTGACAGTAGACCTGGTTTCAGCTGGCGAGCTTTTAGCGCACCTTTGGCGAAGCCTTTTGGCATTAAACTGTCACTGCTCCAAGCTGGATCTGTCGACACCTCCCCCTGCTGCGCCGCCACACCTATCTCAGTGCACCTCTGTCTGCCAAACTACCAAACTGAGCGCGCCTCGGGTTGCGCTGCTCGAAACTAGCTCTGCGCTGGGACTCTAGAGCCCAACGCCACAACAATATTTCGTTTAAATGTTTAAGTGTAATTCAGGAGGTGTTAGTTGTTGAGGACTGGTGAATTGATGTAAGTGAGGGTGGAGGTTGGAGGAGGGATGTCTTCTGTTAGGTTGATCTGGGAGGATGTACTGGAGATTGGGCAGAGGGAGACACAGTTTGAGGGCTCCGTGTCAGGCTATCTGAGCTGATGATGGTACCTAGAATGAGACATGGGAGACGTATGCACCAGATTAAGAAAAGATGAAGGAAGATGGGAAGACAGGATGAAGGAATGTCGGTAGAGGTAGGGAGGATGATGGATGAAGGAAAGGGAAAGGGAGGGTGGGTTGAGAAGTCTGAGACAAACACAGCAAGATGGATTGACCAGGTATGAGTAGGCTTGGCAGGTAATCAGAGGTGTGGTTGACACGTGGCCCTGCTCCTGAACCAAAGGTAACTTCATGTGCTGCAGTCTCAGAAACAATGCCAATTCAAAAAGTAACGTAAAAATTCCAAAAACAAACACGAAAACAGAAAATGATAAAATATAGGAACAATATAAAGTCAGAGAACACAAACCCCAGAAACAAATGCAACAGAAAAATACATCACAATCAAAGCTCTGCAGGCCTGTAGAGGGGGATATGTAAATCCGTTGCTCTTTTCTAATATTGTCAAAGACTAAGGTCAAATGTAAAAAGATATGTACCTTTTTATGTGGACTCTTTACTACACTTTTCTTCTCCTTCAAAAGCAAACTCTGCTTTCTTTCTCTCCAGAAGTGCAAAATCAAGCTGTTCTACTTAGCACTCCCCCTTTAAAAGACAACCTCTGTTGTGTTTCCATTTTTCTGTTGCATTTCCTTCAGGGGTTTGTGTGTTTTTGAATTGTTTCTGAGGCTGTAGCTCGTTTCTCCCAAAGGAAAAGTTGTGGGTCATTATAGCACATTTTCTCTTGTTGGCCACCGTAGGGAAGCCCCTGCCTTATTTCAGCACGACACTACCCCACTGCGCAAAGCCAGGTCCCATAAAGAAATGTTTTTCCCTCTTTGGTGTGAGAGGGCTTACCTGACCTGCACAGGCCCCGACCTCAACCTTATCTAACACCTCTGGGAGGAAGTGGCCAACTGTGACCTCACTAATGGAGCACATCCTGCAGGCTCCATGTAAAGAGTTTTCCCAGAAGAGTAAAGATTATTACAAGAGCAGATAAATGGTCATGGTTTTTAAGCCACATATAGGAATAATATTTGGGTGTCTACATGCTTTGGTCCTTACTTAAACTATATGCATTTGGTCTGAATATCAGCATTTGAAAACTTTTTGTTATTCTCCAGAGGGATTCGCTTCCTGCAGATCCTGCGAATGCTCCACGTGGATCGACAGGGAGGAACCTGGCGTCTTCTCGGCTCTGTCGTCTTCATCCATCGGCAGGTACCCAATCACAACCCTGTCTCTTAGAAACTATATTTGTATATCACGAAATTGCTTTCATAATTATGTTGTGGTGACAACGTAATTGCTGCCTGGATTATGTTTAGAGACAAGGTTTCTTTGAGTAGATAACACTCCTGTCTGTGGTTACATTTACGCAACAAAAGTACTCTGGTTAAGGCTCGGGAAAGATCATGATTTCAGTGATAATAGAAATAAAAGGCTGTATGGATGGTGTGTTACACGATTGCCTATTTCTACAGAAAAAAAACAAGATATGTTGTTAGCGAACATTTCGCTGATATGTTCAGTATCAACATTTTCACGTCTTGCTGCATATGTTAATTAGCAACATTTCCTCATCACGTTAATAGAAAAAGTAACTTGCTCTGCTCTTTGTGGTTTGAAATTAGTTGTATATAAATATAATTTGTAGAAGACAGGGCTGTTTTGAGATCACATCACATTTTCAATTCCAGAGCCGTGGGGCTTCTGATTGTTATTAGTAAGCTGGAGGCTTTCTGTCAGGGGATTTATTGCCTCTTCTCGTCATGTATTTTTTTTCACTACTACATGGTGCAGAGCTTCCAGGTGGGAATGCATATTATAGCCAAATGAATATTCAGCAGGGCTGGAAGAAAAGAGCCACTGTGCTGTAGGTTATGGCCATAAGCTCTTCTCCTGTTGATGACTGTAACCCCTCCAGAGTGTCATTCAGCTGAGAGACAGAGATGGCTGTGATTATCCCCACTGGTTACTACCGTTGTCTTTGAGGTGTGCGTGAGAACACACAGTGACGAAGGTGTGCAGAGTGTCAGGGATGTTGCTCATCCACTACCACATGCTGTGCTTTGGTGTATTGGCTTTGGCTGATGACCATATTGCTTCTTGCTGAGGCCCATCGTTAACAGCCATTGACCTCAGCTGGGAAGAAAGAGTGTGTTGGTACTGGCAGATACTGGGGCCCTTTTCTGTGCAGATTCCCAACAGCTACACTGGATGTCACGCTGCATGAAATAGCAGCTATAGAGGGCACTTATGAGTGAGGATGTCAAATAAAAGTGTGACCTTTTTTTGCCATTACCAGGAAAGACACTGATTGATCGCGATAGCTCATTAAGCTGTTGTTATGAACTGTTTTCCTGCAAATGCATGACATCTCTAGCCTGACATCATCAGACTAAATCATGTTAGTCTTGAACCTCTCAGTTCATTTTCAATTTCCAATAAGTGTTTTCTGCGGCAGTAGATCAAAATGCCTCTGGACCTACGACCAATCAGAGCAGCAAAACATGTGTGAAGGAGAAATGTAAAAGATAGATAGAAAGCTTTATTGTCATTGTATATTAAATATAATCACATTACAGGTGCCATTCCATTAGCATTAAAAAAAAGCAAAAGCAAATGATAAAATAAATAAAAACAATAATAGACAGTGGTTAACAATATCGCACAGTGTAGATACTGCACATGATAATTGTTTGTTTAGTGTTCTTACAGCCCAGGGAAAGAAACTGTTTGTCTGAAGGTGCGGGAAATGTAATCAGACTACAACGTGCAGAAATATCCTGTGATAGGGTCGCCTCAAAATATATGTGAAAGTGTGTTCCCTTTTTTGCTATCTGAATTTGAAAATAGTACTTCAACAGAAAGTTCCCTCTGTGTTGTTTTGGAAAACACCTCAGCAGTGCTCCTGTTTACTAAGCTAGGTTTTTGCTGTGGTGTTCAGCAACACAAGGATGAATGTATTTCATGTCAAGTACAAAGGCTGCACAAGTTGTCAGTCATCGTCTGTAACAAGCCCTTTATTAGATAAATGGTTGTGATTGGCCCAACGGGGCCAAGTTGGGTAAAAATCTGTCTAAAAGGCAGGGGGCAGGCGCATCTGCTCGAGCAAACAAAACATGAGCTCACAGATTCATCTGGTTCCCAGGCTGTAACATCCCACAAGCAATCACCGTGTACAATAAAACAGATGGTGCATTCTTTATTAAATGAATAAAAGATGCAAATGGGTGAAAGATATATCAAATAAATTCAGATAAAGACAGTAACGGTTACTTTTATTTCACAGCTATCTTATTACACATCTTGCGCTACTGAACCCACCATTAAAAAACAGTGTAGGGAATGTGTGGCAAAGGTATGGGCCATCAGTTCCCAGCCTTTAAAGCAGGTGAAAACAAAGTGATGTTTGCTTGTGACCGCCTTGATGGGTTAAGGCCTTGGGAATGTGTGTTCCCTTCTTAGAGTGCTTCATTTAAAGTACTTTATAGAGCCCTAAAGAGGTGAAATCATCTAAAATTTCAGGGGAAACTGGCAAAAAATGAAAGAAAATTAGAAGAAATTATAGCTGCTGCGCAGCAATGGTCGGGGCCGGGCAATTTTAGGCAAATTTAGGCAATTCTGAGCAACACACACACTAAAACAAAGCATATCACAACTTAGAAGTTACATCATATAATTATGGCATGCCCTTCAAATTGTGGATGAGTGGCTGAAGTGATCAGACTCATAATATACAAAGGAAAGAAAAAACTCAAGAACAAGAAAGTAAGAATAACATTAACTGCTAGCAATTATGAACAAACTGGCCTGATCTAGCTTAACCTTAGTAGTCTCTAATCCACATAGCATGATGCCTGAACACAGGACTTTCACATTAGAATGTCTGTTCTGCCTTAGCTGAGGCTTGAACTCACAACTTCTGAGACTGAGGTCTGTCTTCTGTCTCACTGAGCTAATTGGCAAGTCACAGTTCATGTTCAAAGCAAATTTCAAAGTGAAAGTTCCAAAGCTGTAGCACATATGGTTGATTTGTTATGAAGTTTTGAAATTTAGAGGCTTGCTGTAGCGCCACCATCAGGACTATTGTCTTGTGTTTCCAGTTGAGGACATCTGGCATGGGACTGGACCTTTATGAAAAGTTTGGGTAGATTTCTCATATGGAAATGTTGCACGAGTTGAGGCTTGAACTCACAGTCTTCAACACCAAGAACCATCCTCTATCTCACTGAGCTAATTGGCAAACAGAAATCTCACATGTAGCGTTACAAATTGACTAAGCCAGTCACCTGTGTGCAAGACAGCATCTGTTAGTGTGTAAAGGCAGATTTCAAACAGCTGTCAAAAATTCAGTTATTAAGACAAAAATCTGAAAATACACAAATTGCATCTAGACAGCATGGAGATGTTGGTAATTTGTTTGTAACAATGATTTATTGGCTCCATAAGTGAAAAACTGATGTTTACAAATGCCATTTTTGCATTGACTCCAATTGTTCGCATGAGAGCGAAATTCAAAATGCTGTCAAAAATTCAGTTTTTGAGATAAAATTCTGATATTTTCCAAACATCATCTACCATGACTCCAAAATTTTGTCATTTTTTTAATGAACATTGAAAATGTATTTAGCAAGAATTTGCAAGTATATGTTTACAGTACCGTCTACAGTCAAACATTTTGATGCACTGTAGGCTCAATTTTTGATAAATCAAAAATCTGTGTGGATCGTTTGTGTAGGACAGACTGAAGATGCTCTGTAGCAAGTTTGGTGTCAATTGAGCAAAAATTGTGTGAGGAGACAGGTTTAATAAGTTTTACAGTTTTTGAAAAAAACAGTGATGGACTTCATAATTTGCAATAGGTTTAAATGTACAAAAGTTTCTTCAGTATTGGGGCTACATTTTAGTGAAAGTTGCAAATCTGTAGCACATATGGTTGATTTGTTGTGAATTTTCAAAATTTTGAACTTTAGAGGCTTGCTGTAGCGCCACCATCAGGACTATTGGCCTGTTTTTGCAGCTGAGGCAATCTGGCATGGGACTGGACCTTTGTGCAAAGTTTTGTGATTTTTCACGCATGGGAAGTATGATTTCCTCGGGCTTTTCCTCCCCTGGCAGCTTAGGCTGCCCGGCCCCTAATTAACAAAATCTGTGTAGCGGAGTATTACTCCATGAATTCATCTTCTGAACCCCTCATATTAAATACTCTGCCTTGGAAACCTGCAGTTTAGACTATTTAAAGTAGCAAGATGGAATTAAAATTCATATTATGTTTCCTCCATTACCCTACACCTACATTTACCATGCATAAAGGGTAGTAGAGAATAACAAGTCAGCACTGGAGTGGACTATTTTAGGGTTTAAGTTCAGACTAGCTGGTTTTGGGATAGGCCTTACAGCAATATTATGCAAAAAATATATTTTGTTACTTGCCGCCCCTAGAGTTTCAGAGTGGTACACAACTGTTATGTAAAGATTGCAGCATAGGCTGTAACCTTATTACTGTCAACCCTATCCCATGGAGTTTTATAGACAGCTGTACCAACACATTCTCACTCTGACCTCGTCACATATCGACATTTGGTCATGGACTTTCCACTTCGAGATATGACTGGGATTGTTGGTTGGGACACCGTGTCAAGTTCAGCCTGTTACATGCATTGTCTTTTTTCAAAATATACTTCGGTTTTCACAGAGAATGCACAGTTTACATACAGTCTTTTTCAAAATAAAAGCACTTTGTCGCTATATGTGTTTTGGAGACTGGCCATGTATCATGCCAACATGAAACAACAGCTTTTTCGTCACCGTCTGAAGCTAGAAGTCACTGCCCAAGTGCTGGAATTTGGAACCAGCAAATATGATGTTAGAAGCCAGAAAATACATACAAACGTTTTCAGCACATGTACTCAGTTTGCTACATGTTTGAATGTGAATTTTGGCATCCTGCAAAACTCCGTGAGACAGAGATGACACATGATGCTATTCCAGCCTAAGTCAGAATCTTTCATGGCTGACATTGGCAGGGTTGTGCACTCTGCTGTCAGATTGTCATTGTTTTTTCATTAGCTGTGAGGCCCATCACCACACCTAACGACAGGACAGTAACGTTATAAACTGTTTGCAGCCCTGCATTATTTTACTCTTGCCCGGCCTCTTGCTCAGTCACTGTCTTTTACTCTTATTTGCTTCCACTGTGAACATCCTCTTCAGTC